TTCGGACAACATTTCTTGTCACTTGGCCCTTCTTCCAAAACCAAAAATATGCAAAACAGTAACACAAGGGGGGACACACAGGAAATTGCAGGGGTCATCTCATTTCTCCCTCCTCCACTACTTTCTTTTTCCCTTTCCTAAACGCTCTCATAGCTTTTCCCCTAGCAATGGCTACAGAAAGCATTTCTTTCTTAAAGCAACAGATGCTGCTACTATTATTTTGGAGGGTTAACCACCCCCCTCCGGTGTATTTTGTAAGATTTCAGATTTTTCGGCAAACCTATGGCTTTTCTCAGGCTCGGAGAACGATCCGTCTTGCCTGTTGATGGCCCCCGTGTCCAGATATAACTATCCACAGATCTGGCCATGGTGAGGATTAGATATACTGATGCCTGAATAATTTGTTGGTTTAATAGGACATCGTTTTCTGCTGCTTTTATTGACCTTTTGTGCTGTTTTAATTGTATTTTTGGCCTGTGGTTAAAGTGGGGAATACAGATTATAAGCAGTATAATGCCTTTTCCTGTTGTACCCCATTACCTGTTCCATCCTCAAGGGCAGTGCAGTTGTCTTCAGTAAGGAACTGGTATCTTGTGGTTACTGCCCATTATTTGTGGCACAGCCTTGCACCCTCTTCATTATCAGGGCCGGTGCTACCATTAGGCCCAACCAGGCGACCGCCTAGAGTGCAGACCTCAGATAGGCACAGAACTGATAATCAGCATTAGGGTGTGAAATCTGAGTCCCGAGCATAAGACTGCACCCTCCAACACAAGCGAAAAATGCCTCGCCTCTATTATTAGCCTTTTGAAGAGCTCTAAGGGGTGGGACGTAGCTATTTTAAATAAGTAAAAATATAGACAGGTACGAGACTTCTGGGGGCATCCAATGTGCATTGCCCGGACAGAGGATCTCAGTGTTTTGTTTTCATTCCGGAAACAAGAGAGCACTGCTCATAAACAAAACAGCTAACAGCAGCATCTTTAGCACGGGAGTCTCCGCTTGCCAGTTGTCCCTTAGCATGGAAGCCTCAGCCTGCCTGTCGTTTTCTCCCTGCTCAGGCCACAGAGACGTTGATGCTCTACGGGGTGGTTTCTTTGGTGCTGGAGGAAGACGGCACAGCGGTGGAGAGTGAGGAGTTCTTTCAAGTTCTGGACGACAACACAGCCCTCATGGTGCTGGGGAAAGATCAGAAGTGGAGTCCTGGGAAGGTGAGCGGGGGAAGCGGGTCAGAAGAGAGCAGTGGTGGTGGTGGTTCTTAATGGATGGACAATCAGGTGTCGGGATAAAAGGGAGATCAACAGACCTCATGAGCTCACCTGCACACCTATCGCCTTTTTATTGCATCCTCACTACATAGTTTGCCCTTCCCCCATTTTACCTTCGTAACAATACTCTGGGGCAGATTAGGTTGAGAGAGACTCTGCTTCACTCTTGGTCAACCAAGGATCTGTTGGAAAAACAGGCAAAACTACTTAGATATTCAGAGTTTGCAATGGATCTCTGCTTCACTGGAGAGGAGGCATTTCTTTCTGTGTAAAAATCTTTATTTCTAAAGGGAAGGGTTCACAGGGGAATCTACAAAATAACAAAGACTAAGGCTACATTTCTACAGAGCTACAAACAGACCGATCATACGGTCTCTCAACAACAACTGTGATGGAGATCCTCCTCCTTCTTGACCCCTAGAAGGAAATCACCTGAACACATTAACCAATTATTGTGAATAAACAGACTTAGATTTCCCGGGCTTTCTTCCCATTGGCTCTGAGCCAAGTTTCCCTTCCAGGTCAGTCTAAACAATTGCACACAAGGTAAAGCAGACTGACTCTATAATGACTGAATTAGACCTTGCAACACACACACATTTCCCACAGGATCTTCCTGTCTGAAATAAGATTTTATCTTATTTCATGAGTTGTGTGACCCACCAGCCCTAATAGCCCAGACTAGCTAGATTTTATGAAGCTAAACAAGGTCAGTACGTGGATGGGAAACCACCGAAGACGGGGGTCGCTATGCAGAGGAAGACAACGGCCAACCACCTCTGCTCATCTCTTCCCTTGAAACCTCCACGTGCTGGAACTTCACGGGGTCACCATCAACGTTCCCTCTAAGCTGAGTTAGTGTGAGCCAGGTCACAGCTTTTTAGCCTCTGGCGCACACATTTTTGTCTCCGTTCAGGAAGGATGGGGTTCCAGAGCAAGCTAATTTATGCAGTACCCAAACTGCTTGCTCACAGCTTTAATGCCAGTAGCCCACAAAGTAGAATTTCTGCTCACAGAACTCCACAGCTTAGAGGGAGCCTTGGTCACCATGAATCAGTCGTGACTCGACGACACAGTTGTGGTGCTAACTGTTTGAGATTAGGATTGCGAGTCCAAGGAAGAAACAAATCTAATTTTCATGAAGAGTCATGGAAACAAACGCTGAGTCAGACTGATGGATTAAAAAGATGCACCCAGTGTGTTAAAAGCGTGTTTTTTATTCGATGCGTTTCCAAACACTGCAGGAGGCCAGCACGGTTTTAGAAGCAGCATTCCTCCTCCTCTCTCCTTGTGACCAAGGAAAGGCCTCTTCCAGGGTTGTGCCAACCGTAATCTGCAACCCATACTGGCTCCTCGTTCGCCACTGGTGCTTTGTGGCGTCCAGGGCTATTTTTGGGCAGGAACGAACAGGAATGGAGTTCCGGCTGGCTTCCAAGTTGGCCACGCCCAGCAGGAACTCATTAGCATAATAGGCCACACCCAACAGCAGAAGCTCATTAGGACTGGCTACATTAGGGGTGTGTGGCCTAACATGCAAAGGAGTTCCTGCTACAAAAAAAGCCCGGGGTTTGGACAACAAACAAGGTAAACAGAATAAAAAACAAAAGGTGGGTGTGGTTGGATGAGCACACTTCTGGTAACATGGGGGTGTGGCCTAATAGGCCAATGAGCTGTGCTGTCAGGGGTGTGGCCTAATACACTAATGAGGTTCTGCTTTGGGTGGGGCCTATTATGCTAATGAGTTCCTGCTGGGCTTTTTCTACCAAAAAAAAGCCCTGGTGGCGTCACAGTAACAAACAGCGGCGATAATTTAGTCTGAGCCGTACAACAAATATTCTTTCTCTTTCCACTCTAGGGTGGCGGCCGTTCATACGCGCTAAGCCGAGAGAAGCCCCGAAACAGCCGGGACATCGCCCGCATCACTTTCGACATCTACAAGCTCAACCCCCGCGACCTCTTCGGCAGCCTCAACGTCTCCGCAACCTTCTACGGGCTCTACTCCATGAGCTGTGACTTCAAGTGCCTGGGGCCCAAGAAAGTGCTCAGGTGAGTACTGTGTATGGTTCTGGTCACCACACCTCAAAACAGGATATTACAGCACTGGGAAAAGTGCAGAAAAGGGCAACTAGAATGAGAAAAGGGTTGGAACACTTTCCCCATGAAGAAAGCTTAAAGCTCTTGGGGCTCTTTAGCTTGGAGAAACGACGGCTGAGGGGTGACATGATCGAGGTTTACAAGATTATGCCTGGGATAGAGCAGGTAAAGAAAGAGGTACTTTTCTCATAATACAAGAACTCCTGGGCACTCAATGAAATTGCTGGGCAGTTGGGCTAGAACGGATAAAAGGAAGTACTTCTTCACCCAAAGAGTGATTAACACATGGAATTCACGGTCACAGGAGGTGGTGGCGGCTACAAGCATGGACGGCTTCAAGAGGGAATTAGATAAGCATATGGAACAGAAGTCCATCAGTAGCTATGAGCCACAAGGTATAGGTAGGAACTCTCAGGCTGGGGCAAGTGATGCTCTGTCTTCTTGGTGCTTGGGGGGGGCAACAGTGGGAGGGCTCCTAGTGTCCTGGCCCCACTGCTGGACCTCCTGATGGCCCCTGGTATTTTTGGCCACTGCGTGACAGAGTGTTGGACTGGAGGGACCATTGGCCTGCTCCAACGTTGGCTTTATGTTCTTATGTAAGGATGCTGTTGCAGCCATCTAGCTGGGCAGGGTTCCCGCTGAGTCAGTGTGAGCTAGCTCACAGTTTTTTAGCCTCCAGCTCACCCTTTTATGCAGCAGCCAAATCACCTGCTCACAACTTTCATGCCAGGAGCTCACAAAGTAGCATCTTTGCTCACAGGACTCCCCAGCTCAGAGGGAGCATTGCTGGTCGGCCACTCTGTGATCAAAATGCTGGACCAGAAACGCAGCATAACGCAGGTTACGCTGGAGAGGTGTGACTGGCCCGTGAGCACCCGGTGAGCTTCGGGGCAGAGCAGAGATTAGAACCCGCACTCCCCACCCCCGGCCCAGCCCCCCAATCCGTACATCACGCAGACAATGCTCCCTCTAAGCTGTGGAGTCTTATGAGCAAAAATCCTACTTTGTGAGCGACTGGCATTCAAGTTGTGAGCCAGCGGTTTGGCGACTGCATCAATTAATTTACTCTGGAGCAGTGTTCCCTCTAAGCTGAGTTAGTGTGAGCTAGCTCACAGGTTTTTAGCCTCTAACTCACACATTTTTGTCTTAGCACAGGAAGGATGGCTCCAGAGCAAATTAATTGATGCAGCAGCCTGGACCTCCTGATGGCACCTGGTATTTCTGGCCACTGTGTGACACAGAGTGTTGGACTAGATGGGCCTTTGGCCTGATCCAACATTGGCGTCTCTTATGTTCTTATGTAACCCCAGTCTGTGCCATACAGCAAATATTCTTTCTCTTTCCACTCCAGGGTGGCGGCCGCTCATACGCGCTAAGCCGAGAGAAGCCCCGAAACAGCCGGGACATCGCCCGCATCACTTTCGACATCTACAAGCTCAACCCCCGCGACCTCTTCGGCAGCCTCAACGTCTCCGCAACCTTCTACGGGCTCTACTCCATGAGCTGTGACTTCAAGTGCCTGGGGCCCAAGAAAGTGCTCAGGTGAGTACTGTGTATGGTTCTGGTCACCACACCTCAAAACAGGATATTACAGCACTGGGAAAAGTGCAGAAAAGGGCAACTAGAATGAGAAAAGGGTTGGAACACTTTCCCCATGAAGAAAGCTTAAAGCTCTTGGGGCTCTTTAGCTTGGAGAAACGACGGCTGAGGGGTGACATGATCGAGGTTTACAAGATTATGCCTGGGATAGAGCAGGTAAAGAAAGAGGTACTTTTCTCATAATACAAGAACTCCTGGGCACTCAATGAAATTGCTGGGCAGTTGGGCTAGAACGGATAAAAGGAAGTACTTCTTCACCCAAAGAGTGATTAACACATGGAATTCACGGTCACAGGAGGTGGTGGCGGCTACAAGCATGGACGGCTTCAAGAGGGAATTAGATAAGCATATGGAACAGAAGTCCATCAGTAGCTATGAGCCACAAGGTATAGGTAGGAACTCTCAGGCTGGGGCAAGTGATGCTCTGTCTTCTTGGTGCTTGGGGGGGGCAACAGTGGGAGGGCTCCTAGTGTCCTGGCCCCACTGCTGGACCTCCTGATGGCCCCTGGTATTTTTGGCCACTGCGTGACAGAGTGTTGGACTGGAGGGACCATTGGCCTGCTCCAACGTTGGCTTTATGTTCTTATGTAAGGATGCTGTTGCAGCCATCTAGCTGGGCAGGGTTCCCGCTGAGTCAGTGTGAGCTAGCTCACAGTTTTTTAGCCTCCAGCTCACCCTTTTATGCAGCAGCCAAATCACCTGCTCACAACTTTCATGCCAGGAGCTCACAAAGTAGCATCTTTGCTCACAGGACTCCCCAGCTCAGAGGGAGCATTGCTGGTCGGCCACTCTGTGATCAAAATGCTGGACCAGAAACGCAGCATAACGCAGGTTACGCTGGAGAGGTGTGACTGGCCCGTGAGCACCCGGTGAGCTTCGGGGCAGAGCAGAGATTAGAACCCGCACTCCCCACCCTCGGCCCAGCCCCCCAATCCATACATCACGCAGGCAATGCTCCTCTAAGCTGTGGAGTCTTATGAGCAAAAATCCTACTTTGTGAGCGACTGGCATTCAAGTTGTGAGCCAGCGGTTTGGCGACTGCATCAATTAATTTACTCTGGAGCAGTGTTCCCTCTAAGCTGAGTTAGTGTGAGCTAGCTCACAGGTTTTTAGCCTCTAACTCACACATTTTTGTCTTAGCACAGGAAGGATGGCTCCAGAGCAAACTGATTTCTGCAGTAGCCAAATGGCTCGCTCACAGCTTTCATGCCAGCAGCTCACAAAGTAGAATTTTGGCTCACAAGACTCCACAGAGGGAACATTGCTCTGGAGCCCCCTCCTTCCTGAGCTAGCTCACACTGACTCAGCTTGGAGGGAACCCTGCCCACAGGTGCCTCCTCCCCACCGCCTGGTGGTGGAAAGTGGGGTCGAGTCGTAGCCAATGGACGGCAGGTCCTTGTGGGGGTTTTTCAAGGTGAACAGAGGTGGTCCGCCGTTGCCTGCTTCTCTGCATAGCAGCCCTGGGCTTCCTTTGAGGTCTCAGGTCAGTACTTGCGTGCCTCTTCATTTACAGCTGTTCCTCTTTGTCTCCCCCCCACACACACAAGAGAGGTGCTGAGAGTGGTCTCCGGCGTCATGCAAGGGATCGGGCACATCCTCTTGGGCGCGTCTCACTACATCCGTCGCCTCCTGGAGGGCGGTGAAAACTGGAACTCCCACGGCCGGCTGCGGGCCTACGAGGACTGAGCTCTGCCCCCACCACCACCACCCAGCGCTTCCTGTCCGGAGACACCAGGGCAGAATTCCCTCCCGGCGACCCCACCCCAGCGATCACAGGCCTGCGATTTCGACGGGGAGGAGGATCAGAAAGGAATAGGGTTGGCACTGTAAAAAGAAAATGGTTTACAAAATGATTTGTATAGGTGGATAGAGACTGCCGAGGACTGAGCTCTGCCCCCACCACCACCACCCAGCGCTTCCTGTCCGGAGACACCAGGGCAGAATTTCCTCACGGCGACCCCACCCAAAAAATCACAGGCCTGCGATTTCGACGGATCGGAAAGGAATAGGATTGGCACTGTAAAAAGAAAATGGTTTAAAAATGATTTGTATAGGTGGATAGAGACTGCGGGGTCGGCGCTACTGTGTGTGTGTGTGTGTTTGCTGTACGCAGGACCTGACCAGTGTTCCCTCTAAGCTGAGTTAGCGTGAGCTAGCTCACAGTTTTTTAGCCTCCAGCTCACAGGTTTTTGTCTTAGCTCAGGAAGGGATGGCTCCAGAGCAAACTGATTCATGCAGTAGCCAAAACTCTCACTCACAACTTTAATGCCAGGAGCTCACAAAGTAGAATTTTTGCTCACGGGACTCCACAGCTTAGAGGGAACATTGGACCCGACTCTGTAATTTTCGCCTTGCTGAATGTGTCCTGTTAATTTATGCTTCGCTTCAGTCCTGTTCCTGTAGATTTCTGGTTGGTTCCAGACTTCCACAACTCTTATCCTGTTTCACTGTTTTCTGAAGGTCCCATCCTGTCGATTGCATAATCCACCTTGAGTCCCAGAGAGAATAATATATATATACAAAAATATAAATAACAACAAAAATAATAACCTTGAACTCTTTGTTGATTTTCTGTTGTGGGCCGACAGGGGGAGCCCAAGATTTTGCCATGGAACCTGAGTAAGGGTGACCCCTGCTGGTTTGGAACGTGTAATGCTCCACAGGATCGATAAAGAGGCAGTCTTCTATGGAGTCAGAGCACTGGCTCCTCTGGGCCAATAGCGCCTGCTCCAATGGTCAGGAGCTTTTTGACTCGTGCCCCGCTCACAACTTTAATGCCAGGAGCTCACCAAGTAGAAGTTTTGCTCACAAGACTCCACAGCTTAGAGGGAGCATTGTTCACAGGGTGTCTGTTGTGGGGAGGTGAAGGGAAAGGAGTTTGTTTAGCCACTCTGAGACTCCTTCAGGTAGTGAAGGGCGGGGTATAAATCCAATCTCTTCTTCTTCTTCTAAACTGGCTCCCACAGCCCACCCACACCATTTAATTGAGGGACACCGTTCTACTAAAGGAGGTTTCGCAGTCACACAAAGTTAAAGAAAATAATTATTGTGTGTGGGGGGAGGGAATTCCATTAGGGAGTAGACAAGCAAATACAAGGATGCCTCTAGCACCCCCTGGTGGCCAAGTCCTCCAAAGTCTTTGCCGTGAGGAGATGCAAGGAACACAATCCTGTAGCACCTCCTGGGGGAGAGCCCTCCATTGCCAAAGGCAACCCGCTACAGTCTTCCAGCCGAGAGGGCCCGCCCCGTCCAAGTCAGTCCTCCAAGATCTCGGCAAAAAGCTCCCTCCGCTTCTTCTCTGCCTCCTGGAGCCGGTCCCAGTCCCGGCGGCGTTTGAGGAAGTGCGTCAGGGCAAAATTGCGGACCAGGTGGTGGCCAAAGGGGTCGTTCCGCAGCTTCTGTTCGTGCTCCACTGCAAGAGGAAGAGAGGGAGGGAGAGAGAGAGGTGCATTGTGGGAACCAGGGCTTTTTTTGTAGAAAAAGCCCAGCATGAACTCATTAGCATAACAGGCCACACCCAACAGCAGAAACTCATTAGCATATTAGGCCACACCCCTGACAGCACAGCTCATTGGCATATTAGGCCACTCCTCCATGTTACCAGACGTGTGCTCATCCAGCCACACCCACCTTTTGCTTCTTATTCTGTTTACCTTGTTTGTTGTCAAAACCCAGGGCCTTTTTTTTGTAGCAGGGACTCCTTTGCATGTTAGGCCACACACCCCTAATGTAGCCAGTCGTAATGAGTTTCTGCTGTTGGGTGTGGCACATTATGCTAATCAGTTCCTGCTGGGTTTGGCCAACTTGGGAGCCAGCCAGAACTCCGTTCCTGTGCGTTCCTGCCCAAAAATAGTCCTGGTGGGAACCAACGACAAGCCCTGCTCAGGGTGGCGGTGATGCAGACTCCCACTAGCAGGGCTGGGAGTGTCCCTGGATGCCACACGGAGTAGAGAGCACGGGGCCAGACGGACCGGTGATCGGGCCCAGGAGGAGAGGGCAGCTTCCTTTGTTCCTGAAAGGGCAGGGTGGCTCAGTGCTAGAGCCTCTGCTTGACATGCAGAAGGTCCCAGGTTCAGTCCCCGGCATCTCCAGTTAAAAAGGACCAGGTGATGTGAATTACCTCTAACTTGAGACCATGGAGAGCCGCTGCCAGTCTATGAGTAGACAATGCTGACCTTGGTATGCTGACCTTGGTGGACCAGTGGTCTGATTCAGTAGAAGGCCGCTTCACGAGGGAGCAGGGCGCTTGGCTTGGCTCTGTGCCTTGACGCCCAGCCACGGCACAGAAAGACACCCCCCACCCCAAGAAGAAGTATCCATGGGCAACTAGGAGGCAGGCTTAGAAAGCGTTTTGGAATGACTTGCAAGGCAGATCTCAGAGCCAGGATGAACTTCCCATTTAAGCCAGCAGGGGGTGCTCAAACATGTGGCACTCACTCTGCACAAACGCTCTGAATTAACCGCAGAATTAGAATCATAGAGTTGGAAAGGGACCTAGGGTCATCTAGCCCAACCCCCTGCACAACGCAGCAAATTCACAAATACCTCCCCCCACACACACCCACAGTGACCCCTGCTCCATGCCCAGAAGAGGGCAAAAAAACCTTCAGGATCCCCGGCCAAACTGGCCTGGAGAAAAATTGCTTCCTGGCCCCCAAAGTGGCGATCAGCATTTCCCTGGGCGTGTCAGAAAAGGGCCACGAGAACTAAGCACTGAGGCAGCCCTTCCTGTCCTCCCTCTCGTGATCTACCTGAGTTCACAGAATCAGCACTACTGTCAGATGGCCACCTAGCCTCTGCTTGAAAACCTCCAAAGAAGGAGAGCCCACCACCTCCTGAGAATTCACCCAGCACTCCTGCAGAACTGCCTCCCTGGCGGAAGGCAGAGGCGACCTTACCCAGTTCCTGGGCCATCTCTCGCTTGGCCGGCAGCGTGGCCCGGCTCCAGATGGCATCCAAGACACGGCTCCCGTGCTTGCTGCAGGCCAGAGATACGTAGTGGCCCTGGGGATAAAAGAAGAGAAAGGGGGATCAAGAGCGGTGCTCCCTCTAAGCTGAGTGAGTGTGAGCTGGCTCACAGTTGTTTAGCCTCTGGCTCACACATGTTTGCCTTCGCTCAGGAAGGGATGGCTCCAGAGCAAACTCATTGATGCAGCAGCCAAATCGCTCGCTCTCAGCTTTAATGCCAGTGGCTCACAAAGTCGAATGTGTGCTCACAAGACTCCACGGCTTAGCGGGAGCAGTGATCAAGAGGCGCGGTCCCACAGGGTCTCCTTCTCATTCTGTTGCACGTAACGACAGTGAAATGCAGAGGGCGGTGCGGAGAAATAACGCCCCTGCTCTCCCGAGCCAAGGAAAAGACAAAAGCACCCCCTTCCCCAGCTTCTGAGCTCGCTCGCACACTTTCAAGAGCCTTGTCTCCAAACTGGCATAGAACACCCACAGCCCTGGGTAGGAGATAACTCCCCCGATGCGGCAATGTGCGTCCGCAACTCCTTCCAGACACGGGACAGTTTTGCTTGAAACATGTCCATGCCACCTTTCCACCGATCAGGGTGGCACACTTTAAGACATCTGGACAATTAAAACCAATGTTTCACATAGAAAAGCAATTATTTGTTGAAAATATTATTTACATTTATTTTCAAAATGATTTAAAATATTTTTACGCCACACAAAACCTGTCCTCTTCCTTGCTGCGGCACGCTGGACGCGAGTTCTGCCCCATCCTGCGAAACCGTGCGTCATTTCGGCCTCGGTGCCATGACCCTTACCTTAAGCAGGCGCAGAACCTTGCGCCTCTGCTTCTCGGGCACGGAGGGGCTGGCCAGGAGGGCGTCGAAGACGTGGCTGCCCGCCGGGTCGCAGGCCAGGGTGACCAGATCCTGGGGGGGCGTGGCGGCCAGGCTGTGCAGCACGACGGAGGGGTCGGCAAAATGCAAGCAGTGCTGGAGCATCAAGGAGCCGTGGTAGGAGACGGAGCTCAGGCGAGGGGAAGGGTCAGCCTGGGGGGGTGGGGGAGAAAGACCCTCAGACGGGAGGAGGCACAGCGGCCGAGAGCAAACCCTTCCCTCTGTCTTCCCCCTCGGTCTTCCACCTGTAGGTCAAACCAAACCAAATCCCTGCCTGTGGGCGTGTTTCCCAAAGGGGTTTACGGAAGACAACTGAGGGATCTCTGCTTTGTTTTAAACTTAAGTCGCTAGTCCTCATGGAAGGAGTGAAAGTCTGAGGGGCGTGCAGACCCATAGCTACGGTGGGGCTTGGCCCCCTTTCTCAAAGGCACAGCCCCACGAGAATTTCTCCTGTAAATGCTTTCCAAAATCGTCTAAAAAACATTTTTTAAAAAGGCGTGCACTCCCTTGAAGCAGAGTGGGGTGCTGTCGTTGACTCATTCCCATGCTGAGCAAAGGGGTTGGAGTAGGTGACCTCTAGGATCCCTTCTAAGTCCATGTCAAGAAACTGGTCTCCTTTAAGAGAGTTCTTCTGCCGAAGTGTGAGCTTTCTTGACTCTAGAAGTCATCACCCCCACCTGCCGGCTTGTTATCAGAACTGTTGCTTAGGCTGGCAGAAGTGATTAACTGTCATCTAAAGTGGTTGACAGCTTGCAATGGAGAGATCTCTCCTGGTCACAGCTTTCTGTTGACTCAATGGCTTTTCTTCTTGCTCCACCAGGAAAAAATGTGCCCGACAAGCCACAACATCCTGGCCACGGGCCTGGGGGCGTGGCAGAGTCACAGCATAGTTGGTTTGTTCCAGGGGGGCTCCATGTGGGCCGCTCACCCTGAAGAACGTGGGTGAGGGTGCTTGAAGGCCTTGCCACCCCTCACTGAGACTTATCCAGTCACAACGGACAACCTGCTAGTCCCCTTCGCACAAACACACAGGAAGCTGCCTTATACTGAATCAGACCCCTGAAGGTCAGGACTCAGGCCGGCAGCAGCTCTCCGGGTCCTCAGGGAGAGGCCTTTCACATCGTCTCCTGCCTGGACTTTTCAACTGGAGCCGGGGACTGAACCTGGGACCCACCGCATGCAAAGGCGGAGACTCTTCCGCAGAGCTACAGTCTCTCTCCAGTTCTGGCAACCTGCTCAGGTAGGAAGGACGGAGGCAGCATGGCTATGCAGAAACACACGCTGAGAAGAGAGCCACCAGTTTCAGCAGAAGGTTAAACCGGGGAGGGACGGGGGACGGATGACATGATCCAGCTGAAGTACAGTCCAATGTCAACCGGATCATACCCCACGTGCATGCCCCTGGACTCCCCACGCGTGAACAGCGCCTGACCTGACCCACCCTTTAATTAGGAAGGGTCCATAGCTCAGTGGTACAGCAACTGCCGGGCATGCAAAAGGTAGAAGGAGGACGAGGAGAGTTTGGATTTATATCCCGCCCTTCACTCGGACTCTCAGAGTGGCTTACAAAGTCCTTCCCATCCCCACAACAGACACTCTGTGAGGTCGGTGGGGCTGAGAGACACAGCTTAGAGGGAACATTGCTCCTGACCCACCCTTTAATTAGGAAGGGTCCATAGCTCAGTGGTACAGCAACTGCCTGGCATGCAAAAGCTAGAAGGAGGAGGAGGAGGAGGAGAGATTGGATTTATATCCCGCCCTTCACTCGGACTCTCAGAGTGGCTTACAAAGTCCTTCCCCTCCCCACAACAGACACCCTGTGAGGGAGGTGGGGCTGAGAGAGCTCTTTCCAGAACCGCCCTTTCAAGGACAGCTCTTGTCAGAACTACGGCTTGCCCAAGGTCATCCAGCAGGTGCAAGTGGAGGAGTGGGGAATCAAACCCGGTTCTCCCAGATTAGAGTCCGCGCACTTCACCACGACACCAAACTGGTCCCAAGTTCAGTCCCAAAGTTAGAATGATCGGGCAGGAAGTGATGGGGAAGACCACCGCCTAAAACCCTGCAGAGAGCCACTGCCAGTCTGAGTAGACAATACTGACCTTTACGGACCAAGGGTAAGTTTGACGAGGGGCTGTGGCTCAGTGCTGGACCATCTGCTTGGCATGCAGAAGGTCCCAGGTTCAGTCCCCGGCATCTCCAGTTCAAAGGACCAGGGCAGAGATTATGTGGGAGACCTCTGCCTGAGACCCTGGAGAGAGCGCTGCTGCCAGTCTGAGTAGACAATACTGACCATGATGGACCAAGGGTAAGTTTGTGGCTCAGTGGTAGATCCTCTGCTTGGCACGCAGAAGGTCCCAGGTTCAGTCCCCAACATCTCCAGTTCAAAGGACCGGGCAGGAGGTGATGGGAAAGACCTCTCTCTGCCTGAGACCCTGGAGAGCGGCTGCCAGTCTGAGTAGACAAGACTGACCTTGATGGACCCATGGTCTGATTCGGTACACTGCAGCTTCCTGTGTGCCCTTCCATCGCCTCCCTACTTCTTCGTTGCCTTCCTTTGTCCTCTGACTTCCAGCCCCCCCCCCTTCCCCAGGGTTGTCGCTGCCCCGAGAGCCTACCTGGTCCTGTGACACCGTCTCTTCCTCCTCCTCCTCCTCCTCCTCTTCACCGTAATACACCTCGTGAGCCAGCAGAGAGGCAAAGAGGGGGGCGCACGCCAGCTGGCGGGACGGGGGCTCCCAGCAGTGGAAAGCCTGGGGGGGGGGCAGAGAGACCAGACTGAGCCGCCAGGTGCAAGAGTTACAGACGCGGGGCAGGGGGAGAGGAGCAGAGGAACTCTCACCTCCATGAGTCCCTGCAGCACCTCCTGCTGGTGAGCCCCCTGCTTCCGGCAGGCCCCCAGGAGGGCCGTGACCACCCCCAGGTGCTCCAGAGCCAAGATTTCTTCCAGGCCGGGGCTCAGCTCTTCAAAGAGTTTTCCTAGCTGGGGAGGAGAGAAAGGTTAGGGTAGAGCTTCTGCTTGGCATGCAGAAGGCCCCAGGTTCGATCCCCGGCACCTCCAGTTAAAAGGACCAGGCAGGAGGGGATGTGAAAGACCTCCACCTGAGACCCTGGAGAGCCATGAAGTGGGGCTGTAGCTCAGTGGTAGAGCATCTGCTTGGCATGCAGAAGGTCCCAGGTTCAACCCCTGGCATCTCCAGTTAAAAGGTCCAGGCAGGAGGTGATTTGAAAGACCTCCATCTAAGACCTTGGAAAGCCATGAAGTGGGGCTGTAGCTCAGTGGTAGAGCATCTGCTTGGCATGCAGAAGGCCCCAGTTTCAATCCCCAGCATCTCCAGTTAAAAGGACCAGGCAGGAGGGGATGGAAAAGACCTCCACCTGAGACCCTGGAGAGCCATGAAGTGGGGCTGTAGCTCAGTGGTAGAGCGTCTGCCTGGCATGCAGAAGGTCCCAGGTTCAGTCCCTGGCACCTCCCTCCAGTTAAAAGGACCAGGCAGGAGGTGATGTGAAGGACCTCTTCCTGAGACCCCCAAAGAGCCACGGCCAGTCTGAGTAGACAAAACTGACCTTGACGGCCCCAGGGCCTGAGGCAGCTGAAGGCAGCTTCATGCGTGTGGGTTCGCCTGAAGTCTCCCCACCTCCTTAACGCAATACTTATGGGCTTAAGGGCAACCTGTCAATCTGCACATCACGGCCCTGACATGGACACCCCTTTAAATGGCTCCGCCTGGCAGGTATCAGCCCCACTGCCCGAGGTCGACAGGAAAGGCTTGCAGCAGGGAAGGGGGAGGAGCAGATGAACCACTTCCTGGGGCCACGAGACAAATGCCCCAAGAGCTCTCAGACTCACCAGCTTGCGGGGGGCGGCCTGGATGAGCCGCTGCAGAGTGAAGTTGCAGTCTGCTCTGGAGCCCTCCTTCCTGAGCTAAGGCAAAAATGTGTGAGCTGGAGACTAAAAAACTGTGAGCTAGCTCACACTAACTCAGCATAGAAGGAACACTGCTTATGGGCTTAAGGGCAACCTGTCAAACCTGACACCCCTTTAAATGGCTCCGCCTGGCAGGTATCAGCCCCACTGCCCGAGGTCAACAGGAATGGCTTGCAGCAGGAAAGGGGGAAGGAGCAGATGAACCACTTCCTGGGCCCTGCAGCCCGACTCCGGGGAGAGGCCACGAGACAAACACCCCGAGAGCTCTCAGACTCACCAGCTTGCGGGGGGCGGCCTGGATGAGCCGCTGCAGAGAGGAGGAGGAGGAGGAAGAGTTGGATTTATAACCTGCCCTTCATTTGGAGTCTCGGAGTGGCTTACAATCTCCTTCCATTCCTCTCCCCACAACACACACCCTGTTAGGTAGGTGGGGCTGAGACAGCTCTGAGAGAACTGGGACTGACCCAAGGTCACCCAGCTGGCTTCATGTAGAGGAGTGGGGAACCAAACCCGGTTCTCCAGATTAGAGTCCACCGCTCTTAACCACGACACCAAACTGGCTCTGGAGCCAATCAAAAGTCAACTGCCAATCAGGGGAGGAGTAGCTGGTGTAAACCTGTGAGTCGTCACCGGTCAGCCAATCACAACTCACACCTACTCCAGCCCATGAATCCCTCACATTCTAATCCCACCCTTCCTCAGGGGGAACTGTGTGGTCCTCCCTCCTCTATTTTAGCCTCACAACAACCTTACGAGGTAGGCTATGCTCAGAGAAAGAGAGGTTCAAGGTCATTCATTGAGCTGCAAAGCAGAATGGGGATCTGACACCCCTAATATAACCCTAGAAGCCCCAGGAAGAAGCACTGGAGCCCCTGAATAATACAGCTTAAGACAAGTCCGATCTTGTAACAGACAGACAGACAGACAGACAGACAGACAGACAGACAGACAGACAGCTCCTTCCCGCTTTCCCCCCCCACCCTCTGGAGCGCAATGCAATGTGATTGGCCCTGTCCTCGGAATGAGGCGGACCAATGAAATCCAAATAACTCTTAAAAAAAAAAAAAGGAACCAACCACGGAAGCAACTCTTAAGTTACATCCACCACCCCAGCCAATCAGGCGACTTACCTTTGCCCGGCGGCCGGGTTGCGAGAGCTCAGGTAGCCAATCACTGAGCAACACAACTGGGAACAGGCTTCGGGCAACTTCCGGTGCAAGACCTCCAGCGCCACCTGGAGGCAGAGGCTGAAGAATTTGTTGGCGATGAACTCTGGGGAAGGGGAGGTTGGAGAGAGTTCAGAAAGACCCGGGAAGGGGGCTCTTCCCTCCCTCTCCCCATCTTAGAACCGCGACTCTGACAGCACATTTCAAAGACGGGTGGTTGTTGCTGTCGTGGCCTTTGCTCCCTCTAAGCTGTGGAGTCTTGTGAGCAAGAATTCTGCTTAAGACAAGTCCGATCTTGTAACAGACAGACAGACAGACAGACAGACAGACAGACAGACAGACAGACAGCTCCTTCCCGCTTTCCCCCCCCACCCTCTGGAGCGCAATGCAATGTGATTGGCCCTGTCCTCGGAATGAGGCGGACCAATGAAATCCAAATAACTCTTAAAAAAAAAAAAAAAGGAACCACACGGAAGCAACTCTTAAGTTACATCCACCACCCCAGCCAATCAGGCGACTTACCTTTGCCCGGCGGCCGGGTTGCGAGAGCTCAGGTAGCCAATCACTGAGCAACACAACTGGGAACAGGCTTCGGGCAACTTCCGGTGCAAGACCTCCAGCGCCACCTGGAGGCAGAGGCTGAAGAATTTGTTGGCGATGAACTCTGGGGAAGGGGAGGTTGGAGAGAGTTCAGAAAGACCCGGGAAGGGGGCTCTTCCCTCCCTCTCCCCATCTTAGAACCGCGACTCTGACAGCACATTTCAAAGACGGGTGGTTGTTGCTGTCGTGGCCTTTGCTCCCTCTAAGCTGTGGAGTCTTGTGAGCAAGAATTCTACTTTTGTGAGCTCCTGGAATTAAAGGGGTGAGCGAGCGGCTTGGCTGCGGCATAACTTAGTTCGCTCTGGAGTCACCTCCTTCCTGAGCCAAGACAACAATGTGTGAGTCGGAGGCTAAGAAACTGTGAGCTGGCTCACACTGACGCAGCCTAGAGGGAACACTGGCTGCGGGTGCCACTGAAATGAACACAGACACTGCTGTCTCCACTCAGAGAAGAGAGAAGAAGAAGAGATTGGATTCACTACCCAAAGGAGTCTCAGAGCGGCTTACAAACTCCTTTCCCTTCCCCTCCCCACAACAGACACCCTGTGAGGTGGGTGGGGCTGAGAGAGCTCTTGACAGAAACGGCTCTTTTTCAAGGACAGCTCTTATCAGAACTACGGCTTGCCCAAGGTCACACCAGCAGCTGCGAGTGGAGGAGGAGTGGGGAATCAAACCCGGTTCTCCCAGATGAGAGTCCGCACACTTAACCACGACACCAAACTGACAGACAAAAGCCATAAGAGCTGACAGAAGCTTTGGCCGCGAGTGGAGGAGGAGTGGGGAATCAAACCCGGTTCTCCCAGATTAGAGTCTGCACACTTAACCACGACACCAAACTGACAGACAGAAGCCAAAGTTTTGGCTGTGGGAGACCAAACAAGAAGCTCAATTTTTAGAACAGGGGTGGCCAAACTGTGGCTCGGGAGCTGCACGCGGCTCTTTCACATATATTGTGTTGCTCCTGGCAGGGCGGCTGGGGAAGCAAAGGGGAGGCAGGCCTCCCCAATCGGTCTTCCCGTCCCCAGCCAGTGTTCCTCTCCCTGAGTAGTCTTGAGGCGAGGGGGTAGCAGGGAAAGAAAGCAACTTTAAATGCCTTCTCAAAGCCCCCCTCCTTCCCACTGGCCAGCTTGAAGAAGGCAACTGTCTCTTTAAATCCCTTCTCCAAGCTAAGCCAGCCAGCGTGGGGAGCTTGGAGGATGCATTTAAAATTAAAGTTGCTTTCTTCCTACCTCTCCCTCCCTCCCTCCCCCTTCTATTTGCTTTCTTTGTTTTTCGCTCTCTCGCTTTCTTTCCACCTCTTTCTCTCTTTCCTTCCACCTCTCTCTCTCTTTCTCTCTTTTAGACAAATATCAATAGCAAATAAATATCATTGGACAAATAGATAACATTATCAATACCTGTTTTTACCGCTTTTGTTTTTATTTCTGGCAGTCTCGTTTAGTGTTAATGAAAAGCAAAGTTGCATACTTTTAAATATAAACGTGTGTGTGACATCTGTTCGTGTCTTGTTGGCTCTCAAACATCTGACGCTTATTCTACGTGGCTCTTAACGATGAGCAAGTTTGGCCGCCCCTGCTTTAGGCCTTCCTCAGCTCCACGCATGCTCACTCAGCATCCACCCGCCTCCTTCCTAAAGACAGCACGACTGCCAAGACATCCCTCATCACCAGAGACTCTTGTTCGTCAGAGAGACACCCCTCTCTGCTTCTCAACTGAGCCCACGGGGTGTCTGCTGCCTTCCCATCAAAATTCAGCCTCTCGCCTCCTACTGTTGCAGGAACCCCTCATTTCCCACTGCTCTGTTTCCCTGCAATACCACACACGCTACATGCACAATCAACGGCAGGGGGCTGGGGCCAGTGTTCCCTCTAAGTTGTGGAGTCTTTTGTGAACAGATAC